AGCTCCCTAGTTGGGATGCTGCCCCCGCGACCCGGACCCGGATAAGCGGAGGAAGACGATGACAACGAATCTTCTGAATAATTACAATAAAGACCTTGCAGGTTAATATTTTATATTTATATAGAATATTACATCTTTGTGGTCATAAGAGATAAAATCATCAGTTTGTAAACGCTACAGGATTATGGGAGATGTAGTGATATTATGTTTCAATGGGAATTCTTTTTAACTAACCATTTCTATTTTTAATCAATGAAGTCTTATTTATTTGACAGTTTTTTTAGTTCATTTCAAATATTAATACTAATTTATACTTTAATGAAATCTTATTTTATTTAATTTTTTAGAATGGATAACAGGGATTTCTAAGAGATTCTTGGGAAAGCTTGGTTCCACCTGGGTCTTCCTTTATGCCTTCTCCTGGTTTGGACGTGCCCGGAAAACCTCACCAGGGAGTTGTCCAGGAGGCATCCTTACCAGATGCCCGAGCCACCTCAACTGGCTCCTTTTGATTTGGAGGAGCAGAAGGTCTTTTCCAAGCTCCTCCCGGATGACCAAGCTTCTCACCCTATCTCTAAGGGAGAGCCCAGCCACCCTGCGGAGAAAACTCATTTTGGCCGCTGGTACTCGCGGTCTCATCTTTTCTTTCACTACCCAAAGCTTGTGACCATAGGTGAGGGTAGGAACTTAGATCGACCGGTAAATAGAGCCTTCTGGCTCAGCTCTCTCTTCACCACGATAAACCGGTACAACGCCCGCAGTACTGCAGACGTAGCACCAATCCACCTATCCCCCATCTTGCCCTCACTCGTGAACAAGACCCGGGATATTTTAACTCCTCCACCTGGGGCAGGACCTGGTCCCTAACCTGGAGACAGGGCCAGATTAAGACTTTGTTGTACCCTGGGCAACAATATTCAAGGGCCCCATCATCACGACCCAAGGATCACCATAATGTGGTCACATACAGAATATATTACTGTAATATGCAGTAAATATACTCAGTACTTGAATGCCTGACATCACGTAACCCGCTCAGGGTAACCTTTGACCCACCTCGTGTGGACTGACCAATGAGGAGAGGGTATTAACTTGAGGCCCTCTCTTCATTGGTCAGTCTGCATGAGACTGACTCTCAACTGACGTTCAGTCGTAGGCAGCGAAGCGTCTCTGTGCAGCGCAAAAGCCCGGGTGGACAGTTTGTTTAATATAGGGTGACCATATTTCCATTTCCAAACAAGAGGACAGGGGATCTGTGCCTATGACATCACACTATGGCAACGCCACCCAAACCATGTTGGGACCCATTTTTTGTAAGAACTAAATTTATATCAGATTCTGCCAATTAAAGGGCTCTAAAACAATTCATATGTAAATATTTAGCATATTTATTGCAAAATCTCATTTTTCTGCTTTAGTGCTGCAACAAGGTTTTATTAGTAATAAATTATTATTCCTTTTGTTTTACTACAGCATCGGTACGCTTCCTGTGCACAGATTATTAAGGATGCTTGTTTCAGCTGTGAGATTAGACGATAGGATCAATGAAAAAATAAGTTGTCACACACTCCATGGAAACTTTCAGAGAATCCACAAATAGTGGCTTTCAAATGGTTTTGTTACTTTTTACAAGTTTAGAAAAGCAGCAGATGAGACAGCATGTCTGATAATTTAGTTTTTCATCTGATAATATTAGAACATGTCAGTAATGTCTGAGGGGCTTTTATAAACACCGTATAACTAACACTACTGGAGAGGGCATGAATTACACAGAGGCTTCTGGGGAGCCCAGTAATGGGGGGGGGGGGGGGGGGGGGGGGGGCATTTTGCCTTGGCCGCCAAAATGTCTTGAAACGGCCCTGGGTGTGTGACTGAGTTTTGAAGGTGATCTGAATTGTATCTGATGTATAAATATGACATGTGTATAACTTAATGTTTTATACAGGTAAAAACGTGTAGTGGAGATAAATCTACCTACATTTTACTTTGTTTTGTTTTCTTGTTTTTATTTAACTATTTCCTGTCCTGTCTGTCTCTCATCTTCCTGCATCTCCTCTAAACTCTCCAGAAAATCTGCTGCCTGGATTCTTACTTTTTCACCTCATCAGTTACTTCTGAGCAGATCAAAGATCTCCTGACCGCAAAGCGGAGAGCGCGTTTCGATGCTGCCTCAGTGAGGTGACATCACCGCAGCACAGGTGATGAGCTCCGCAGTGGCAGAGAGCTTCAGGCACAAATAAGACAGAAAGTAGAGAGCAAGTGCGGACATGAACGATCGTGTGCTAATTATAGTTTTTTGGTTGCACCACTTTGAGAATGGACCGTGCGCTGGAAGCAGCAGCCTGGATCGCTGCGCAACAACGCGCTGTGCCGCTCTCTGTGCTCTCTGCTCAGAAGAGTCCATAAATGACGTAATATAGCTAGAAAACGTTTTTTCCGACTCCCCTGGATGTGTAGGATATACAGCTCCCCCATAATTCGATCCCTGCTCCTGGATGAAAAGCCGGACATTTTCATCAATACAAGAACCCCCAGTCCGGACGCCCGGACAGAGAGTGAAAAGTGGACATGTCCGGGGAAAACCGGACATACGGTCACCCTAGTTTAATATAATGCGGCAGATTAGATATGCCTACAGTATTTTGCTCGTGCCCTTGCTGCCCTGGGTCCCTTAGAGTTTGTGGGCCCTGGGCAATTGCCCAGTTGCCCATATGGTTAATCCGGCCTTGCCTGGAGATGGCATTATACCTTTTTCCAACTCAAGACCAAGGTAACAGACGTGTTGTCTATTAATACTGAGAACCTTGATGCCTTCACTATTGCAGATTTTGTGCCCCTAAGAAGCACCTCAGTTTTATTGAAGTTCAACTGCCAGAAGTTAGAAGAGAACCAGGACTTAATCTCAGCAAGGCTATCAGTAAGTGAGGATGGTGGAAGCGATGCAGATGGTGAAGTTGAAATGTATAACTGGGTGTCGTCAGAATAAATATTCCATTTACAAAAAATGGCACCCAAAAGGAGCAGAAAAATGATAAACAGCAGGGGCCAAAGACAGAACCTTGAGGAACCCCAGATACTACAGGAGTGGGAGTGGAGGTACATCCGTCCAGCTGAATGAATTTAGTTCTGTCTGTAAGGTATGACTTAAACCCGGTTAACAGAATGAGAGAAATACCTAGTGCGGATAACCTTTTCAGAAGGGTGAAGTGAGAGACTGTCAAATGCAGCACTAAGGTCAAGGAGAACAAGGATTTTGATTAGCTCCGAGTCTGCATCCACTAAAAGACCACTGGTGGTCTTAATTAGTACTGTCTCAGTGCTGTGGAAACATCTGAAGCCAGACTGGAATGTTTCATATAATATGTTAGCAGATAAATGCTGTTGTAGTCGGGAAGCCACGGTTTTTTCAAGAACCTTTGAGATAAATGAAAGATTAGAAATTAGTCAAAAACTACTGAAGTCCTTTGGGTAGGGCTGTCATGGTAACCACAAAAATGAAATATCACAATATGAAGAAACCCACCGCGCTGCCTCATGGGCCACCGCGATTACTGAACTTGGTTCAACTCAATGATGCATGTTGAGAAGGATGGCTGCACTGGTATCAAAACGAAACGTTACTTCGCTCCTTTGGGAGCACTTTGGTTTTCAGTACGTCAGCTGCTGCGCAGCCAGAGTCCTTGGCCGAGACAGAGCTGCCACCAGCGGCAAAAATAAATAAAAATAAATGCTCGGAGACCTGCTGAAGTCCCGGACAAGTACTGCTTCTGCAACCGTCCCGAAGAGAGTTTGAGCCGAGCTGGAGCTCACTCGCTACCTGCAGGAGGAATGCATCCACCCTAAAGAAACCCCCCTGACATCGTGGAGCAACAACCGGGAGAGATTCTCTTTACTCGCACGCAGGTACGTGTGCGTTAGTGCAACGAGCGCACCATCCGAGAGGGTTTTCAGTGTTGCTGCAAATGTTGCCCCCCCTCTCAGATCCTCTCTCAAACCGTATATGGTTAACATGCTGGTTTTCCTTGTGGGTAACAAGGACGTGACCGAGCTATAAAGCACCGTCATTCGTGTGTGTGAAAGTGAAATGATAGTGCCCCGCGCCCGGTACATGTAATTTTTTATGCTTGATTTTAAACAACTAAACAAAATGGGGACTTGTTTCTTATTAGTTAGATGCTGCAGCCAAATTTGCATTTAAAAGTTTAACCTCCTGAATGTTGTTGTTTTTAAGTTCAGTCGGACTCCAACTGTCGGAGAAACAAACGTTACTGCGATCTGTGTTGTTACTGCCCTTTGATCTGCATTCAGTAAAGTGTTATAAAAGAAGGCACGGCAATTTTTAACCTTTTTTAAATGTGTAAACATTATGTTTAGATAGTACTGCAATAAAAAGAAAGTGCTGCAATAATATCGCACACAGCAGTATTAAGCCACCCTGAATCACCGCAGGGGGAATTCCTCAACCGCGACAGCCCTACCTTTGGGTCAACTCCAGGTTTTTTCAGTAAGGGTTAAAAAGCCCAAAACGTATCCCTCACAAGTTTTACTCGTTTAATGCTCGTATTCGTCAAAAATGCTTTATCTGTACCGGATACTTGTCTGAAACGAGTATACGGCTCATCCCTACAAACCACATAACCACCCTCCTCAAGCCACTGCAACTTCACCTGCACATCTCAATCACCATTGGACGCGTCATTGCCACCCCCACAGCTCCTCTTAGCAGCCCGACCCAGCCGACTGGATGGCCACATGCTCCCTTCTTCCCCATACACTGCCGTAAATGAGGTTGACTCAAAACAAAGCCGGGCCGCCATCCTACCGGGCCTGTACAGGTTATCGGCCGCCCACCAGAAAAATCCCCCAAAGCCAACCTAAACTGAGCAGTCACCACACAGCTTTATATATGAGGCCCCACCATTCTGTGGTGGAGTTCCCCTGAGCCTCAGTGCTGCAAGGTTGGGAAAGTCCCATGAATTTGAACAACAGACACAATTTCATGTGATTTTTTAATACACTCCAGTAAGTTAGTAAGAAAACGATCACCTTGTGTTCTGATCCTAGTTCAGGTGTAACAACAGTAGACAAAAATGTGCTTGTTTTTGCATCGGAGTCCACGTCAGATTCTGTTGCTGCCTTCAGAGCTACGGACAGGTCTGAAGCTTTCAATGTGCAGAAACATTGCAACACAGCTTTGCCTCCAATCATTCACTACAGAAATACGTTTACATCTTTGGTTCCCCTACAGTGTTGACCTTCATTCCTGGGCATAATGCTTCAGTTTCCTTTTACATTTGAAACTCCTTAGAAAGATTATAAAAAATGAACAAAAGTCAATTTAAGGAAGAAAATGATGGAATAAAATTTGCTGAAAAGCCCAAATCAGCCTTTAAAACAATTTATTCAATTCCTTTCACTTTTAATTCTTCTCGAACTCTGCTGAGGTAATCAGGATCTGGGTACCCATACCTGCAAACAGGAATACATACTCATTAGCTCCATAAGGAAAGCTCCACAGCTGATCAGAAATCGAGGTTTAAGAAGATGATTAGGTATGGTGGTCCTTACAGAGTAGGTCCTCCACCTGTGGAGGTCTTGTGATGAATATCGTTCCACGTAACTGTGTTGTTCCTGCCACTGGTGCTGGACTGGCCGATAGTGAAGGTGAGTCTCTGGTCAAATGCTCGCCTGAGCAACTTCACGATCTTCCTTCCTTCTGAGGAGTCAGGGAGGTAGGCAGTCCGGGACACCCCCACAAAGGGCTGGCCTGGGTTTGGATGCTCCTCCTGCAGACAAAGACGTAGCTTCAACTTTTTACTGAATAAAATTAAAAAGTAATTATATGAAGTTGGATTCCCAGATCCCAGGAGGCAGGAATGTTGTTGGTCAACAAATCATTGTGTGTAGCTGGATGCTGGTGATGGCACCCTTTGTGCTGGGGTGTCCATACCAGATTCAACTCAACCAGTCGGGTCGGGGCATTCATGAGCTGAAAGTTCATACGTTGTTAAGACTAATCTGGGAAACAGTATAGCCTTTTTCCCAGGAACGCTACTCAGCCTAAAACCGCTCTGTACAGTTTGAGTCAGCCCATCTGAGTGAAGTTTTGTTCCCATGTCAGCTCCTATGAGGGTGAGGGTGCCCCTCCCCACACACACCCTCATAGGTGTGGGGGGTGGGGGTGATTTTTACTTGTGACAAAATTGCATTGTACGTTTTACTTTTAAGCTGAGAACTGTCAAGCTGGAAAATCCTGTCGTTGTTACCAACAAAACAACGGTTCCTTCAGAATAAAAGCTGAACTCGCTGACCCAAAGGGGGGTCCCTTTGACGCTGTGAAACACCTGCCGCTTTTACCTGGAGACTATCCATAGACTGGTTTGTCGTGCTGAGGACGCTGCTTCATTCGGCTCCAGTACCAGAGGAGGGTCCGTGGACCTTAATTAAATTGTAATACCCTTCATTTCCATTACACGTTTTTAGCATTAGAAATTAATCTGTATGCCAGTTGTTCTTAACCTTTCATAATCATTATGGACAGGATTTCTAGGCACAGCCGTGGTCTGGAGGGTGTCGAGTTCGGGGCCAGGAGAATCTTGTCTCTGCTTTTTGCGGATCATGTGGTCCTCCTAGCTTCATCGAGCTCGGACCTTCAGCTCTTGCTGGGGAGGTTTGCAGCAGAGTGTGAAACGGCTGGGATGAGGATCAGCATTCCAAATCTGAGACCATGTTTCCTGACCAGAAAAAAGTGTTTTGCCAACTCCGGGTCAGGAGAGAGGTCCTTCCCCAAGTGGAGGAGTTTAAGTATCTTGAGGTCTTGTTCATGAGTCAGGGAAGGAAGGAGCGGGAGATCGACAGGCAGATTGGGGCAGCATCTCCAGTGATGCAGACGTTGAACCGATCTGTCGTGGTGAAGAGGGAGCTGAGCCAGAAAGCAAAGCTCTCAATGTACCGGTCGATCTATGTCCCAATCCTCAACTATGGTCCGGAGCTTTGGTCAATGACCGAAAGAACGAGATTGCAGAAACAAGCGGCAGAAATGAGGCTCTGCCTTAGGGATAGGGTAAGAAGCTCCGACATCTGGGAGGGACTGTGTGTGGCGCTGCTGACCCTCCGCATCAAAAGGAGCCAGCTGAAGTGGTTCCGGCATCTGGTCAGGATGCCTCCTTCGGGAGGTGTTTTGGGCATGTCCTGCCAGCAGGAGGCCCTTGGGTCGACCCAGGACAACCTGGTGGTAATACATCTCTAGATTGGCCAGGGAACGCCTGGGTGTTCAAGCTGAGGAGCTGGAAGACTTGGCTGGGGAGAGGATTGTCTAGGAGGCCCTACTTGGGATGCTGCCCCGTGAGCCCTACCTGGATAAGTGGAGGAAGGTGAGGTGAGATGAGGTTACTCATTCTGTCTATTTTCGATTGAAAAGAAAAAAAATCAAAAAAGGAAAAATGGATTTCTTTTTTGTTATTTTGTTTTTTAAACGGATTCAAAAATAACAAAAAAGTTGTGTTTTTCTTGTTTTTTGTTCTCGTCTCAGATAAAATATATGAAATGGAAAAACTTATTTATTTTAATATTTAATTTGTCAGGTTTGCATCAACAAACCTGTCTGCCTACAGAGCGCTTCTCTGCATTCCTCCTGAAAACAAAATTTTTTATTAAATCATGGATTTGGTTAATTGGTCACTCAATGCGATTAACAAGATTTTTTTCAACAATGAGAACGGAGCAGGGGGCTCCTACTTGTCCACATGGTACGCACCCAGTGGGGTGTATATTGGATTCCTGGAAGGAGTGGAATATTATATGCCTTTCTCAGCTGTCCGTGGAAGACATCGAAGATGTGTGCATTTTCAGGAAGATAATTACTTGATTTCTTCTGCTGGAGTGGGAGAATTTCTGGTATTTTGAAAATTGGGAAGATGGGGCGATTGGTGTGCAAATCAGACCCATTTAAAGTCTCAGCAGTGTGGAAACAGCTCAGACTGAGATGTTACTCAAGATGAATCGCAAGCTAGAGGTTCTAGCTGCAATCCCGGTGTTAGTGAACAAGATGGATGTGATCTTGGAGAAAGTCACTGCATGGTATGGGCAAGATTAAACCCAAAAATTAGATTTACTGAGAAACTGGATTACCATAAATCCTCTAATACAGGCCCGGGCCTGTATTTTACTCAAGCTAATCAAGCTCCAGGCCTTTATTGGTAAGAGGGCCAGAATTAGAGGCAGGCCTCAACTTCTATTTGAGCAAAATGAACTACCAGTAGAATGAATAATAACGAGGTGTGTCTATTTGAACCTATAAAATACTAGGTTCATTTACTGAAAATGTACAGTTACAATTACGTGGTACGGTTTGCATATAAAACATTAACAACAAGGCTAAATTACAGTAGGGAAATACTGTATTGTAACAAACAATAGCAAACATACCTGTACTGCATTTTAAACATTATTAAATACCGGTATTAGAAAAGGCAACAGCCACCTTACCGCTTCAAAGTTCAATCGCTTCTTCTCGTTTGGGTTGTAGTAAACTTAAATTTTTTTAAAGTGGACTGTCAAGTAATGAAAATCGAGTCGACTTTGACTAGTCATTGATGACGTCATACACCTGAAGCTGCGCGGGAGGGGGTGGGGTAGGGGTCGGTTGGTTCACTGGAGTTTTTGACAATTAAAATTGCGCCCACATTTTCAAAGTTAAACACATTTCTTTTAACAACGGTAGTTTCTGCTTCAGCCCTCTCCCCCCTCCCCCTGCGCAGCGGCCGCAAACTCACTGATGCGCCTGCAGCCTCTCAGAGTTCCTGCTGCTCTAAACATTAAAATAATTATTTCATTTTCTGTTCCTCACTTCTGATTACCTTCAATGGTGTCTGTTTGTTGCAACCAGCAGGTACAAAAACTAACTTGTTTTTATTTGACTATTTTTCTGTCCTGTCTGTTTATTATCTTCCTGCATCTCCTCTCAATCCTAAAGAGAAACTGCTACCTGGGTTCATATATATTCACCTCATGAGTTACCTTTGAACTGCAGTTCTAAAAGATCTACCGACCGCAAAAACAGCAGAGTGCTCACCGGCCGCATCAGTGATCGGTGCGTCACCGAGGACAAAACAGGTGATGCGCCCCGCTCCACAGCAGCGAAACGCATCAGGCACAAATAAAATAATAAAAGACAGAAAACATAAAAGGAAATGAGCCGACATGAACGATCGCGTGTTAAATTAGTTTTTGAGGTGGCGACACCTGATTTGATAATGTTACTGTGGCCGTTCTCAGGACGCAGATGTCTGGAGCGCGTCAACAATCAGAGCTTTGCATGCACAAGCTGGTTAAGGTTAGGATGGGGGTGAGGGAAAGTTAAATTGCAAGAGGGTAAAGGTCACAATTTGGTTAAATGTCCGTTTTACGGCGGGTGTCAGTACCGACGCTCTGGCACAGCGCATTGCCTCCCGACGCGCAGCAGCTCGTCACCTGCTGACAGCAGCCTGCTGTCTTTTCCGAGGACTGCACCTTGCCGGTCATTATCACGTGACAGCGACTAGTCGATGACAGGCATAAAAAGTCACTATAGAGCGGTGAAGTCGACTAGTGACTAGTTCATACAACCCCTACTGCTCCCCAGAGTGTTCTGCAGCATAATCAGCACGTTCTCTTTGAACTTGATATCAAATTTTCACCTCCTCTTCGTCTCCGCACGGTTAAAGTTACCCTCGGGGTCAATCACTGGCAAATCAAAAGTGAGACGGATGACACAACCGCCCCCCGTGGTACTTGCTTGTTACCACATTCCACCTGGCCACAATAAAAAAAAAGAAAAACGGCCATTATTCATCTCCGCCGACTTCGACCAAAATGTGATACCCGACCGTTAATTGAGTACAGGCCAATATTAGAGAATTTACGGTAGTTAAATAGTGAAAGGCAGAGAGAAAATTATCTCTGCCTGACCCAAATAATTCTTATCTGAATCTGGTGCCCTGGTAGCCTTGAGCTGCGAGAAGAACCAATCAGACCAAATCATATGCTGGTACGTCGCAAATGTAGCGTCACTACATAATCTCCTCTCCCCCCATGTAGCTGCTACTTACCACATTACCAGCTTTATGTTGTTTTTCTTCCTGAAGGAAGGATTTGAAGTTCGCTGAACTTACAGTAATTTTTCTTATGTTTTTCTCCATGTCTGGTTTGATGATGTCGCTTTGGCAATGCACATTTGTAGTCCTGGACTTATTTTCACACAAAACCTAAAATAACGCTTACCCCCGTTAAAAAATATGCACTTTCAACACATTAAAATGCGTCTTTAAAATTCATAGACATTAATATGTGAAATCCATGGCCCTGTAGCGGAAATTCACATTTCACACTCTTAAATTAATTTTGTTTGGATTTACGAGAAGGACAACAAACTGTTATTTCACACAAAGCTTTAATTTATCTTATTTCAAACAAAGCTTTAATTTCTCTTACACTGCAACAGAAGTGACATCTGGGCTTGACTTATAGTTACTCCTACACTCAATCCTCAAGTCATAAATTTTACCATGACTTGTGCTTCTGTCCCGTATCAATCGGAGGACCTGCACGGTTTCAGAAACGGACATGTTCTATATCAAACTGTCATGGCCTGACCTCCACCTAAGGCTGGGGTACTCGTAAAACTTCTCAGGGGTTGTTCTGGAAGCTTCCAGAATTTAGTCTTTATGAAACCTGGTATTTTTGTTTATCAGCAAGCAAAAGGTGTTTGTTTGGTTACCATTAAAGTCAATGTGTTCAAAGTAAATATTTGAACTGTCATCAGTTGTAGGAATAAATGTTTGTTTTGTGTTTTCTTTTATGTTAAAAGTCTGCCATTTTTGTTTCACCAGTTAAAGTTCATGTTAATGGTCAAGTTTTAAGGAATGAATTTAGTTATTCCCTGTTTAAAGTAATACTTTTTGATGCCTTATATGGATAATTTTGGTAAATTGTGATGTGGACTTTTATGGTTGGAAAGGTTGAGTTTATTTGGAAGAGCCACAGTGCCGTCCAGTAGTTAATAGGGGAAATGCATGTGGGTGTGTCTAAGGAAAAGATATTAAAAAAATACCTTGTTTTCAAGCCTCGCGGCAGAGCAAAAGCACAAAGAACCAGGCCTTAAGCAAATTCTGCTAGGCTCCACACCTCGCCTAGCAACGCCGTTGTTCCAAAGTTTCTCAAGTCATTAGCGCTCCCAAAAGCTACAGTATAACTCAGCAGCAACTCATTAAATTAAACCAATTTATTTCTGTTTTTTTTATCGTTTACATCAAACTGAAAGTTGGTTTGGTTTGGTAAAGTTTTCACAATAAGAGTTAAACTAATTTGGAGTAGTTTTTCTTATTTGGCTTCGTTTTTTAAATTTTGAACCCGCGCTCTGAATTCAACGTTTTCAGCGCAGCTGAAGTGAAGGAAACACAAAGTCAAGCCACTGCAGAGGAACGAGTCTTCTCCTCCACCACACAGATGACCGTCGACCAACTCAGGGGCCAAATTCCTTCGGCCCCGAGCGCCTCTTCGCAAGAGAGGAGACCCAGTGTCGGTACAGGAACTGCTCGGGTGCCAGATTGGCTCAGGGTCCTTCGACTGTCGATGACGTCAAAGTACGGCAAATCCACTCGGACAAAATACACTACACATCTTTATACTGTTCTTTCACTCAGGTTTTGGAAAGAATTTAGCAGTTGTGTTATTAAAATAATGTTTCGTGGTATTTGTAAAATAAAACACCATATTGTATTCATTTAGTAAAGAATGTGTAACTACATAAACTGAAGATCAGCCTGTGCCAAAATATTTTCTAAAATTTAAATAATTAGCACCTCTCTCGGTTTGTATGAATGTTGAACTCCTCTTCATATTTTGTTAATTATGTTTAATATTTCAATCCATTTAATCAAAATTTGAGTTCATCAAGGTCTCCATTCATCAACTAATATTTTTGCTTTAATTTCACATTTTCTTTGGCAATATGAATGTATTTCCCCAAAAATATTTTCCCATTTCAATAAATGCATTTCAGTATAATCACAATTTATTTATGTTGTTCTGCCTGGGAGTATTTATTGGACCAAAAATCAGTTATATGTATATCTAAAACTAGATCTTTTTATTGAATACTGAAAGGCAATGACCAACCAACATTGAACATTCAACATTATACTCAAAGAATTCCATTACTATTTAAATACACCACCTAAGGTTGCAAATTTCCAAATGTATTTGAATACAATTAAAAACATTTTAAAAAATCAATGACTGAAAAAAATAGTGTAAAATTTTTCATAGTTCAAATTTTATTTATATCAAAAGCACGAACACTGGAGCAATACAGTAAGCACAAGCATGTAACAAATAAGAACAACAGTCCAAAACAGAGGATCCCGGGGTCTGACTGCTCCTCTCAGCAAGCAAGTCGGAGATGAGATGCAGGAAGGGGAGCTACAACAAAAACAGAATTTATATAATTTTATTATATTTACAACTGAGATTACAATTACGATTTAATTCACAAATATTTTCTCAAGGGGCTTTTCTCATATTTTTCAACTAACAGATGCAAAAAAAAATTCTATGCAACTTGTACTGAATATAAACAAGTTTATGTATCTACATATCTACAAGTTTATTTGTCTACAGACACATTGTTGTATTTGAAGGTGCAATGCTTTGCAGCCAGGAGCACATCCCTTGAAGGATCATAGGTATTAGCAACACCAGTGAAATTTATTTGCAGGAAAGAAGTGTGTCCAGTTTATTGAAGTATTTTGTGTTTAGTTTTTGACGTCTTGTCCATGCGTAGTTCAGCTACACTTATAGCTGCTAGCCAAAACTCTGGAGTTAAATGTTTTCTGGCTTCACTAAAATACCTGTCTGTACTTATTTGATTGATGGTAGTTTTACTTTCTATTAGACTCCAAATGTAATCATTTGGCACGTTTCTAATTGATAATTTGTAAGAATGTAATCGGTGATATTAGCATTAGCATTCCTATGGGTTTTTCCATGTATATTAGCATTGCACTAACCACTTGCTGCCAGTCAAACTGCAGCCTTTATGATTAGATAATTGTAATGATAACAGCAAATCATTATTTGTTTCGTATCATGGCTTATGTAGTTCATACTGCTAGATGGTAGGGGGAGCCAGAGGGACGCAGATGACCCGCGGTCTGGGACAGTAGAAGGAAGCTTGTTTGTTGCATGTGAGCCTGAGTTCGATAAAGTACCTTCTCTTCAAGTAATGGTGTCGTTATTGAGAACCCACAACAATACAAGAAACAAGACATGGTGTCAGAAGTTGGTCTTGAAGAAAGGTGACGGGCAACTATATAGCTGTACCGACAGATCAGTGTGGCAGTAAACGTAGTGTAGCTAACACGCCGAGGGGGGAGAGAAAAAAAAAGAGACCTAGCAACGTGAGCATGGAAGGCTTACACCCACCACCAATTCTTCAGTTGACTGGAAATGTGGCTGAAAATTGGAGAAGATTTAAGCAACGTTTCACGTTGTACCTGTCAGCAATTGGACTCGACGAGGCAAGTGATAAAAAGCAAGCATCAGTGTTTTTGCATGTAGTGGGTGATGAGGCGCTGGAAGTCTATAATAACTTCACGTTTCCTGATGGTGATGGAATGAAGCTGAATGAAATAATGGAGAAGTTTGAGGCTTACTGCATACCTAAGAGAAATGTGACGTTTGAGAAGTACAGATTCTTCACATGTGTACAGAAGACGGGGAGACAATAGATCAGTATGTCACAGAGCTGCAGAACAGGAGTAAAACGTGAGTTTGGAGGACTGACACACTCTTTGATAAAAGACAGACTTGTGTGTGGGATTCCAGACAACGGGTTGAGAGAGAGGCTACTGAGAGAGGAAAATCTTGACCTGGAAAAAGCATTAACACTGTGCAGAGCAGCTGAAACAGTGAGGGCACAAGCTAAAGAACTGCTGAGTGACAGCTGCAGAGTGGATGCTGTAAAAAAGAACACACACAGGGTCAAAAAAGAGAGTGCTGCTGCTGAAGTGAAACTGCAATTGAAATCGCCAGCGAACAGGGACAGAAAGGAAAAGACTTGTGGTCGCTGCGGGATGCAACATCCTCCTAAAAAATGTCCGGCATATGGGAAAAGATGCAATACTTGTAACAAAAATAACCATTATGCTAGGTGCTGCAAAGTTCAAATCCCGAAACAAAGTTCGGTCCATACGGTGGATGAAGACGACACAGAGGAGCTCTATGTAGCTGCAGTGACAGACAATAAAACAGGAGGAAAGGACTGGATAATGACTCTCAAAGTAAATGACACACTCATGAAGGTCAAGCTGGATACTGGAGCTCAAGTGAATGTCATATCTGAAGCAGAGTTCAAGAGAATCAGACCTAGACCCAAAATGCATGCTACGTCGGTGAAAGTGAGTGGATATTCAGGTTCAGAAATACCTGTAAAAGGTAAATGCATGGTTAAAGTGACACACAAGGACAAGGAGCGCACGCTAACGTTCATCGTGGTGCCAAAGAATGTGCAGTCCATACTAGGGTTGCATGCCTGTGAGAGTCTGAACCTAGTGAAAAGAGTGCTCGTCGTGGAAACTGATGATGACATGGACTATAATGAGTTGATGAAGGAATATGGTGACCTGTTTCAGGGACTTGGTTGCCTTGCTGGAGAACACACAATCAGAGTCGATGAAAGGGTTAAACCAGTCATTCATCCGTGCCGCAAAGTACCATTTGCTCTACAAAAGCCACTAAAAGCCGAGTTGGACAGGATGGAAAACCTGGGAGTGATTGAAAAGGTTGATGAACCAACGGAGTGGGTGAGTTCTCTTGTTATTGTGGAGAAAAAGACGGGAAAGCTCAGGGTTTGCATGGATCCTAGAGACCTGAATAGAGCAATAAGGAGAGAACATTTCAAACTGCCTACAAGAGAAGAGATCATGTCACAGTTTGCAAAAGCAAAGTAAGTTAGCAAGCTAGACGCTTCATCAGGATTTTGGCAAATGAAGCTGGACGAAGCGAGTTCGAAACTGTGCACGTTCAACAGGCCATTTGGCAGGTACAGATTCCGGCGACTGCCGTTTGGCATTGCCTCAGCACCGGAAGTGTACCACAAGACAATACACATGATCTACGAACACCTGGAAGGAGTCGACACGTCAATGGATGACATCATTGTGTGGGGTAGCACAAAAGCTGAACATGACCTGAGACTGAGAAATGTTCTTGAAGCAACCAGAAGAGCCAATCTGAAGCTGAATAAGGAGAAATGTCAGCTGGGCGCACAAACTGGCATTCGTTGGAGATATTCTGAGCAGTGAAGGCATCAGGCCAGATCCTCAAAAGGTGGCTGCAATTGAAAACATGCAGAGGCCGCAATGCAAGAAAGATGTGCAGAGGTTTAATGGCATGGTGAATTACATGAGGAACTTCATACCCAATCTCTCGGAAAAGATGGCGCCACTGAGACAGCTAACGGAAAAGAGACTCGAATGGGAGTGGAATCATGAACATGAGAAAGCATGGCGTGACTTGAAAGATTTGCTTACGAAGGAACCAGTTCTGAAGTTTTATGATCCAATGAGGCCTTTTAACATCTCATCAGATGCATCACAGAGCGGGCTTGGAGCTGTTCTGTTGCAGAAGTATGATGAGTGGCAGCCTGTTGCCTAAGCATCGCGATCGATGACAGATGCAGAGACGAGATATGCGCAGATTGAAAAAGAACTGCTAAGCATAACTTACGCCTGTGAGAGATTTCACCAGTTTGTGTCCGGGCAGGCTGTCAGTGTTGAAACTGATCACAAGCCGCTGAGAGCATTGTTCAAAAAACCACTAAATGACTGTCCGCTGAGAATCTAAAAAATGATGATCCGGCTGCAACGTTACACACTGGACATGATGTACACGCCTGGCAAGCTGATGTACACAGCTGACACATTATCCAGAGCTGTTGATCCAAATGTGTCAGCAAACACCACGTTGGATGATGATGTGAGAGCATATGTGAGCATGGTCACAGGTGCACTTCCCGTTGCAGGAGGGAAGATGGAGCTCATAAGAACAGAGACAAGCAAAGATGGAACATTACAAGCACTGTGCAAGACTATCATAGATGGATGGCCCAGCTGTAAGCAAAGCTGCTCACCTGTTCTTCAAGAGTATTGGAACTGCAGAGCAGCATTGTCAGTAGTGGATGATGTGGTGTTCAAGGGAAGTAAAATTGTTATCCCAAAGAGCCTGCAAGGAGAGATGCTCAAAAAGATACATGCAGGGCATCTAGGCATGGAAAAATGTAAAAGGAGAGCACGTGAGGTGATGTACTGGCCACGGATTAATCAGGACGTGACAAATGAAGTGTCGAGCTGTTCAACATGTCTGACATATCAAGCAAGCAATACTGCTGAGCCACTAACGCCACACCCAGTGCCAGACCGACCTTATCAGAAGGTGGTGGCGGACCTCTTTGTGTCTGGAGGAAAGGACTATATTGTGGTCACAGACTACTACTCTTTGTATCCAGAAGTATGTTAACTGCAAACAACAACAGCAGAAGCTGTAATCACCTCTATGAAAGCTGTATTTGCACGACATGGTGTGCCAAGTGAAGTGTTCACAGACAATGAACCACAATTCTCCAATATGAGGTTTGGACAGTTTGCCAAAGAATGGGACTTTGTTCACACGACGTCAAGCCCACGTTACCCGCAATCTAATGGATCAGTTGAAAAGTCCGTCCAAACGGTGAAGAGGCTGATGAGTAAGGCAAGAGACAGTGGTGCTGACTTCTACCAAAGTCTGCTCGTATACCGCACAGCGCCACTTGAGTGTGGTATGTCGCCAGCTCAGCTGCTTATGGGACGACGCCTGAGATCAAACTTGCCCATTCAGGATAATCTGCTTAAAACACGTGAGGGAAACGGCGTGAAGAAGTTTAAGGAGCAACAAAAAGCGAAGCAGAAGTTCTATTATGATAGAGGAACAAAGAATTTGCCTGAACTGCATGCTGGGGATCAGGTGAGATTCAAAGACAAAACCAGCACATGGGAGCAGAAAGCAACAGTTCTACGGAATGATCAACCTCGATCATTCATCATTCAGACAGAAGATGGAGCTGTGCTGAGAAGAAATTGCAGAGATCTTCTTAAGGGACCAGTGGTAGAGGAGCAGAGGTTGGAGGCTGCTGATCAAACACAACACACACATGAGACACAGTCACCTGTAACATCTGCACATACACATGTACACACACCGAGAAGATCTGTAAGACAAGTGAAGCCACCCATGAGACTGACTGAACAGATGTAATGTGTTGACATGTTGTTTGGAAGATGATGTTACGTTACCTCTGTAAGTTCACCATGTTTGGTTTTTGGGGTTGAATGGGTTATAATTGTTGAAAGCTAGTTAAGTTGTTAACATTACTTTACCAAAGCTTGGCTTAACCAATAACATATAATTAGAGGCTGTTTATGTTTATGTAAGTCAGTATGTTATCTTATAAAAAAAGGAAGATGTAATGATAACAGCAAATCATTATTTGTTTAGTATCATGGCTTATGTAGTTCATACTGCTAGATGGTAGGGGGAGCCAGAGGGACGCGGAGGACCCGCGGTCTGGGACAGTAGAAAGAAGCTTGTTTGTTGCATGTGAGCCTGAGTTCGATAAAGTACCTTCTCTTCAAGTAATGGTGTCGTTCTTGAGAACCCACAACAATACAAGAAACAAGACAATAATCTCTTTTTGTCACATCGCAGTTTAACTGCACATGCAATTAATCGTTCAGCCCTAATAGACATGCAGCTCTATGTTAAAAGTGTATTTTCAAAGAGTCGCTAAAAATCAACATTAGGTCACAATACTACTTACTATTAATTGTGTAACGTTTCGATGCCTTTCGAATGGTGGTCTTTCTGCTCTCAGGATGTTGAGGCGATGAAGAGGCTGTGATAAGTCCCTTTTAAAAGGTAATGATGGATTTCTTTGTAAAAGTTGTCCATCTTTCCAACAGAAAAATTTGTCTGGACCAAAGTAACATGATAACGTAACTTCCGTAAGCTTCATTTTCAGCCAATCAACTACTTCGACGTCATCGGCAGTCAAAGGAACCCGAGCCGATCTGGCACCCGAGCAGATCCTGTACCGACACTGGCTGTCTCAGCCCTTGACTACCCTCTGGTGACGAGGAAAAAGGTCTGTTGAATCATTTCATTTGGCTGACTTTTCTTGCTAAAGTCCGCTTAGTGAATTCAGACTATCACATTTATGGCGTGTTTTATCTCGATCCCAATCCATGGTAACTTTTAGGGCTTCTTCTCATTTCTCTGCTGCAAGGAATTTTCATTTGCATGCAAACACACACGCATGAACACGCCCCCTTCTGCATTACCATATCCACTCAAACACACACGTAGCCACTTCACATAAGCTCACATGACTATTCACTTTGTTCCCCATTAGAACTTATCCTCAATTCTACTATAATCTTGTATGTCACCAAATTTCCACTTTTAATACGGGTCAGTTCAGTTGATATAATCAAAGCTTTGGGTATATCCATTTTCCTAATTCCAATGCGTGAAACTATAAATATATGTTTGGATTACTTGTAATTTGTATTAACTGATGTTTGTAATAAACTCACAAAACGAAAATAAAAGCCTTATCATTTCTAGCAATCTTGAGAATAGTCGGCGCATTCTGGCGTGAATTCATCCTTTAGATTAATTTGTGATGTTAAATTTAGACTGATTACATTGGAACAGATCTGAATATCAAATTCAATTGTCCAGTTTTAATGAAACTGGTGGTGCCCCGATTAAACCAATATGAGGTGACAAACAAATAAATAAGCTGAATCCACACTCGTTGGGATATATGTTCACCACATTTGATGTATAGATATAAATCTATTAATCGCTACAGCGCATAACAAGCAGAATTAGAAAAAAATGTTTTTAGCCTCATTGATTTGCGCTAATTTTTTCGTTATTTCGGGGACCCGTAGTGCGGAAAAAGATGGGCGTTAGGCTCTGAAATATTTTATTCCAACCCTCCCTCTATCTGCAGACTCAATAATTGGTAAAAATAAATAATAATTATAATTGATTAACAAATAGATTTTTAGGCATTGTATTCCTGCTAGTAAAAATAGCTGTTGATTTATTAATTTTTAATGAAGACTAGTGAAAGTACGATCTGGACTAGGATCAATTAAAATAGGAAATACAAGAAGGTGTGGTTGTTAATTAAATGCTAATATGGCTTGCCACAAGTCAGGTCTGCTTCCACAGCCAAACACAGTCCATGCTTCGACTCCTCTTGTGCAAATAGATGCCATGAATGACGAGGTGCTCCATTAATACAGGTGTTTCCATAATGACACAAATCTGAACACAAGTGTTACTATTAGCTCTGGTGCTGTTTACTTTCACAAGATGCAGCCAAAACTTATTTTCTTTTTTTCCGGTATTTTATTAGTTCGCAAACTCTGAGGTGTTTCGTAAACAAAGTTTGTAAGAGAGAGAGCAGTCTATGTCTGATGTGAACTGCAACAGCAGGAAGAGCGGGGTTTTCGGCTCAACAGACTGTTTACTGGAAAACTACCAAAAATTTGTACCGAAAAAGATCATTCTTTTTGTTTTATCAGTAGCTACTCTGCTCTACGCCAGTCTTGATTTCATAACTTAGCATCACAGAAAGACCCGCTGGATCCCTGACCCAAAGCAGGGCTCTCACACGCGCCACTAGCATAAAAGTTTCATGCCAACGTAGGTCTTGCTTCATTGCAAAGCCAGAGGACACTGCCAGTCCAGCGGCTGGTCTCTAAATTAGGAGGGGTCTGCTACTCACACACCGGTGTTACAGAAAGAAGCTGACCCTCTCGGGGCAGCCGCAATCGTGTTTATCAAAGGCAAAATGGTCGCTCTCTTTTTTTGTTAACAAAAATAAAGATTTTTTTTTATATCAAACTATCTTGGCTGATCTTAAATACAAAAAAACTGCAGTCTGTTTTTCAAGCATTTCCAAGGACTTAATACAGAAATCAAGTACTTTCCATACCTTGAAAACACGTTAATAAAATTCAAGCATTTTCAAGGATTTCAAGCACCCGTATGGAACCTGAGCTAAACATGACGGTGGTCAACAGGGAGGTGCTGGCTTCTTGCCCTCTAGCCAGAGGCTGGGGGCCAGGGGTGATGGGGCTGATGTCACGTGCCATGGGGTCTATATGGAGAAGCTCGCCTCACTAGGGATAAATGGACAATAAGAAACAAAAGTTGCCCACTGATCCACAGCAAGTTTCCATAATTTTATTTCTACATCATTGAAATGTTTTTAACTGATACTTTAAAAACTACAAACTGAGTACCAAGTACTTTTATTTATTAATAATGAAAAAGAACAACTGAACAAGTATTAGAGTAAAGGAACAAAAAGTTAGTAAACACAAAGAAGTTCAGATACAATCAGAGCTCCAACATGTGAATTTTGGTTTTATGTTTGTCATCAACAGATGTTAAATTTGAGCCATGAATGTTTTTATGCAGAGTTGTAAATAAAAACTTTCACAGAAAAATTTCTGGTTGATGTTAATTGCTGTGGAAAAAGAAAAATGCCAAATTGATCTTTTGTATATTCTGTGTTTCAGGCATGTAGCGATAAATATAGATTTATATCTATATTTCAAATGTGGCATAGATTTAGCCTGTTTATAATATTATATTAATTAATCGGGGCACCACCAGTTTCCGGAACTGGATTTAATATCTATATCTTCGCAATGTAATCAGTCTCAGTGTCGTGAGGCGGTGGTGAGGACCCAAGATGCAGGACCCAGGATGACACGAGGCACGGATGATGATTAAGTAAAAGTTCTTTATTTTTAGGTGAGCCAAAAACCAAGTATATCCAAGCTGGAAGCCAAAAATCCAAAAACCAGATAAATATCTGGGGATCAAAAACTCTGGAATAAACACAGAGGGACGAAACTGACAGAACTACAAACAACATTAATGGACCGACACAAGACAAAGACCAGGCAGGGCTTAAATAGACTGGGAGGGGCAATCAGGAAAACAGGCAGAAGGTGTGCGGAGTGAGCTGCTGGAGGGAAGGCAGGTGATGATAATAATCTAAATGGGGAAACAGAACAGAGAATGGCAGATAACCCTAAAATACAATATTTAAACCTAAAGACTGAGGGAAAGGCTCACACAACTATCTGGAGGAGGACATAATACACACATATACACTCAGACACACATACACAAACCCAAAAACTCTGACACCTATAAACAGAACTGGGAAATGACCAAGCACACACACACACACACAGAGCAGGGGACTGAGAGGCTGGGGGCTACAAGGACACAAAATGAAGACCTGGAAGGGCTGGGGAGGAATGAGATGACACGGGACCTGGGAGGAATAATTGTACCGGTACCACATAAGACACAAGGACTGAGACGAAGACAAGGACACATGAGGGCGCTATGAGACACAAAAGGGAATCTAGAGAGGGATGGAGGACACCAAAGCCCTTTTCAGACAGACATTCTGGAACATTTGCGAACAATTCAATCCGGTTTTTAACCGCAACTGTGTTTTCAGACACACCACTTTTGTACCGGAACTTGTCCTTTCGGCTGCGTTCACACAGCAGGGAAAAGTTCCAGATGTCTGACGGCGGGGGGTGGGGAGAATCGGACTTATGTTAAGAAGAAGAAGAAGAAAATATCATTTCTATAGCGCCTCTCAAGATAAAAATCACGAGGCGCTTAAGCATAATTCTGCGCACACGAAGACGCATAAGAGGCCTGGATGATGAAGTTCAATGGTTAAAGGAATCACTGAAGCGGTGTGAAGCGCTCCGTCACGAGTCTATACGGTACCGTAGGAGGCGAGCTGCCATGGTTCGCCGCATTCTACAGCAGCAGGCTATCTAGGTGCGCACAGCGTCCCCCGGTCCCCTCCTCCTCCCCCTCCCCCTTGTACGGAACTCTACCTCACCAGTCTGAAGCAGCCACCCTGTCCGTAACAAGTCCGGACCTGTTACTAGGGGCTTCATCCGGATAAATTCCGGAACACGTTATCCGGATGTTTGTATTCAGACAGAAAGGTCTTACGGACAGAGTCCGGAACATTTCCGTTTTTCATGGCCTGTCTGAAGGGGGCTCAAGAGGCACAAAAAGGAGGGGGCCGACGCAGACCACGACACTCAGAGTTAACACCACAAATTAATCTAAAGGATGAATTCTTGACAGAATGCACCGATTATTCCCGAGAATTGCTTGACAATGATCAGGCATTATTTACGTTTTGTGAGTTTATTACAAACATCAGTTGTGAAAATTGACAAAAAGAACCAAACACAACTTATTGTTTCATGCAAGAGAATAAGTAAGTGAATATACCCAAAGCTTTATGGCAGTGCTACGACTTAACTAGTCTGTAATAAAAGTGGAAATTTGGTGACACATAGGATTATAATAAATATTAGGAATAATTTCTAAAAGGAGGGTGTGCGTGTGTATTGTTATGGCAGAAGAAGGAAGAGTATCTTGAGAGCTAAACGTCAATGTGGGATCGAAATAAAACACGCCACTAAAGAAATGTAATAATCTGAATTCACGAATCGGCTTGTGGCAGAAAACCAGCCGGATAGAAATGCTCACAGACGTGCTTTCCGTCGCCGGAAAGGTGGCCAGCGGTTCCAAAAGCCTTGGGTTCCTGGCTCGTGGCCTTTTTGGATTAAATGGTGCTGGCTCCCTGGTCAATCAACGTCGGTCGTGGAAAGGGGAGGATATGGTAATCCTTGATCGTGGCTAGACTTTTCGGTTCCTCCAGCTACACCAAACGTGGAATTCAGATCGCGCGTCCGATGTAACGTGATGAAGGAGCCATTTCTACCCTAACAGCTGTTTCTTTTTGACACAGTGCCAGAGTGCATGAAACAGCCAAGGTCATGCATTCACTTCTAAACTGTTACATTCCAGAAGTGAAGACAGAAGAATGAAGAATGAACTCTTTTCTTTTAATTAAAGAACTCTATTTTTAATAAAGCTAATCAAAACAACTGTGACAGATCTGTGAAATCACAATGTTATATGTTTTAATAAGTAAATGACTTATTCTAGCCACTAGTCACCTGATACACAAAAGATAAATAATCATGACACATTCCGGTCGCAAATCCAATCAGAACCTTCACTCTGAAGCGTGGCAGAGTCTCTGTGGTGTTTATTTAATCTGTCAGCTGTGATTCGTCCAGAATCGTAAACACCAAGATAAATAAAACAGTCCAACGCCATTTTGAGTTCAGTATTCAGCCAGATCTCCAGATCCCCTGAAGTTCATCATTGCTACGTGGAGTACGGACCGCCCATCTGTACTTTTTACTTTTAAGCTGAGAACTGCCAAGCTGGGAAAATCCTGTCGTTGTTATCAACAAAACAATGGTTCCTTCAGAAAAAAAAGCTGAACTCGCTGACCCAAAGGGGGGGTCCCTTTGACGCTGTGAAACACCTGCCACTTTTTACCTGGAGACTATCCAAAGACTGGTTTGTCGTGCTGAGGACGCTGTTTCATCGGCTCCAGTACCAGTGAAAGGTCGTGAACCTGGCAGCCTGATCTAAGATGGAGGTCTCGCTGACGGGTAATGTAGAACGGCACAGATGGCGTCTCATGTGGTTTTCTAACGACGGTTCAAACGTTGATCAGTTAGGAGCAAAACATCATCTCCCACTCAGACTCGCTTCTCCAGAACGGAGGTTCTGAACTGACATCGCACCAACACACACTCCACCTAACATTTCATTCCATGAGCATCCATCACTAGAGAGTTAGTCCTGTTAAACTGTTAAAATCATTTAGATAATACATTTTTCTTAAACGTTTGGAGGTCTCTCTCTCTCTTCTCTTGTCTCTCATTTCATGCAAAGTGTATTAAATTTCCCTGTAATAAAAAGAACCACTCTTCTGGTTTAAATAGCCCAGTGTCCAGAGATGGGGTCCATGCTAGATTTGGATCAGTAATATCTCTGGTCATTAATTAAAATGTAACTCCTTATCCTCCATTACACCGAATTATCCAAAACGAGATCGAATCAGAGAAACTGTATTTGGGTTTCACTCTTAATGTGAGAACTTAACCGAACATGCAGACTTCGGGTTTCACGTAGGAAGTCAAAACAAATGGAGTTGCTTCTAAGTTTTACAGTAACTTTTGAGAGCTAATTACTTGACAACTGTAAAGTGCCGGGTTCGGCTAGGCCAGATGGAAACAGCCAGCAGGGATTTGTGCTTAAGGCATCCTTTTCTCTTTTTCTCCTTCCTCCACGAAGTCTGAACTCTGGTTTTATAAACTTCTTGGTCACACCCACATGTATTTCACTCATTAACCACTTGATGGCACTGAGGCTCTTTCAAATAGCCCAGTCTTACAACCATGAGAGATTCATGCTCACAACTGTAACAAAGTTATTCCAAATAAGGCCTCAAAAAGTATTACTTTAAACAGAAATGAACTAACTTCAGGTCTTAAGCTTGACTGCATCACTTTTAGCATGGTTTTGAACTGGTGAAACACAATGGCAGAAGTTTAACAGGAAAGAAAAAACACAGCACAAGCAGTTTAGGTTTGTAACAATCGACAAATACATATATGGACAATGGGTTTCCATAGGCTCCAATATCACGTTTTTGAAGAAAAATGGGAGGTGGCCACCACCGCCATTTTGACCGTGTCACAGGTTCCGTCAAGCCCAGACAATTCCACAAAAGGGAAGAGAAGTGGAGCTGAGGGTGGGGCTGTAAGGCTGGGATCAACTGACGACACCCGGTCGAACTAGCTACAAGCTAACCTGAAGCTAACCCAAAGCTAACGCGGAGGTGGGAGCGCAGCACACAGAAGCCGCGATCAGACAGAGATGCGACGAGCTGCGGGAAGGGGAGAACCGGGTGGAACACATCGGTCTCCCGAGAGCTCCACAAGCCGATAGTGGGAACCCAGCTCCATCAACATGTTATATTTCATCCCATTTTCTAAAGTGCAGCATTATGTTAAATGCACTAAGTTTTACCCTATTACATTTAAATTTCATGGTTAAACAGTACATGTTAAAATCTAAGCTCAGCTCGGCAGTGACCTAAAATACATAAATATAATTTTACTTACCGAAAAAATGAAGTGGAGACTCCTTGGACGCTCTATTAGTGCAATTAATGCCACAGCAAGTCATTTTGTCCAACAATTGCACAAAAATATCCAAAAAGAACGCACAAACGCTACAACTAATGGTCTAAGTTGAGAGACTGAAAATGGCGGAACAGTTTTCAGGCGAGGCCGAGGCTCTACTGAGGCCTTTCCCCGGAGCTAGCTCTGTGGTCACGTGGGTCTGATGCTCATTAATTATTCAGAATTTTAGGCTTTTAATACACTTAAACAGAAGAGTGAGAAAAACATTCACCCCCCTCAGAGTTGTCATGAGTGTAAACTAGATCATTTAAACCAAAAACATGTTCTGGTACCAGGCTGTAAACATGTTTATTTCTGCTGTGAAATTGGTATTTTTAACATGGGAGTCAATGAGGATTTGCTCGCTTCTGACACCAGCCCCTAGTGGATGAGGGTGGAACTGCAGTTTATTTCACTTCCGGTTTGACTCAATTGCTGTCCCGCATTGTGGGGGCTTGTTTGTAACTGATAAAAGTTTAAACATTTACTTGGAACACCTTGAATTTTAATGTTGAACAACCTAAAACACCTTTTGACTGTGGATAAACAGAAAAATACCAGAGTTTTGATAAAGACTAAATCCTGGAATCTTCCAGAATGACGCTTGAGAAGTTTTACAAGCGCCCGGCCTTGGGGAGAGTCAGTTCTTGGCAGGTTGAGGTAAGACAGACCAAGTCCTGATAATGTCCAGCTTCTCGATTGCTTAAGGAGGGAAACAAACAAGTCACTTGGTAAAATGTACGTTCCTGGGAGAAAATGTAGGAGTTAGCCAGATGCTTGAAAATGGTATCTTGGAATGTATACGATTGTAGGCGGGTTTCATGTTCCCCCTTTTTTCTGCTAAGTGTGAAAGAAACCTTTGTTCTTCTCCATGTAAAACCAAACAAAGTTAACCTGAGGATACAAAATGTGGACTTCTGCTACAGGCATACAAGTCCACAGCACAGACACTGGTCAGCTTCTAAGGGATCCAACCGTTTCTCACTGCACACTAACCTGTTTTATTAAAGCATTTAGGTCTTTGAGAAATGTAGAATATTTTCATTTTAGCTTTTAAATAAAGATACTGAATACTACGTAGATCTGAGATTACTTTCTAATGGACGTGTTTAACTTTGGTGTTTGGAACAAAGAATCCAAGAGTTGTTGTTTTGTTTTAATTAAACTTTTACATTTGAATAACAAACAAATAAAACACCCTGAAAAATGAATAAGTAATAAAATAGAAATGACTACAAATATACACAGTGGTCACTTATGGACAAAGGTAATTTAGCAATGGTAAATAAAATTAAATGAGTATCAGCAGCAGTCTTTAATGTAGTTAGGGATAAATGCTGTATGTTGTCCATGTGGGTCTGAGTTGTCCAGTAGGGCTGAACGATTTTAGGAAAAGACTGAATTCATGATTTTCTTCAAACACTAGGCTGCCAAGCCATCCTGTAGATTAAGTGGAGAGATGGTCTAGATTCTAATCTAGTACAACAAATCATTCACATTTATATTTATTATCTAATCATATAATAAAATCAGTTAAAGCTATTCATATTTTCTCCCATTATTATCTTTTTTATTTTTGATGTGTTTGTGAAGCAGCTTGTGCTGTTCATCTGGAGAGAGAGAGAGCTTTATAACAGCATGTTCTTGTTTTACTGCAAAAGTGCAGGGAGGAAATCTGTAGGTACAAACAGCTTTTAAACACTATTAAATAAAAAATGCTCACAGTTTTCCTGCATTACCGCGGCAGGCTGGCTGCATGTTTTTAAAGCCGTCTGATAGTTTCTCCTCACTAAAACTCTGCTACGAAGCCTAGCTTGTCCTGCGGAAAGCTCCGTGAGACTCGTACACTGAAAGAGACACGCTGACACCGTAGCGTGTCTAAACTAACGTGTGCCATCAGAAACATTCAGACCAGTTTTAAGAGAAGCTGAACTTTCAAGTGTGTGCAACAACGCACTTGCGCTGATGAAGCATAAACCAATCATCTCTCACCTACTGTGCTGTAGGACCACCACAGCCATTATTACCGGTTCTAGCAGCGCTGTGTGTGGAAATATAAAACAGGGAAATTAACCTAAAGGTGCAGCTCTGTCAGCTGTGGAATTGGGCTCGGCTCCGGACGGTACACCCCACCCCCCTCCCCTGTGCTGGCTGTTGCCGCCGCCGTAACACGGGGAAAACCCAGATGTGACCAAAACAAGTTGACACAACAGATCCTGGATCAGCCAGAACCGCTAAAAACCCACTGCTTTGACGGTCATGTAATCGTGCTTTTTGAAATTGCAGATTCAGTCCAAAAAAGATAGATCGTTCAGCGCTGTTCTCCAGACACAATGACTTGGTAGCACAACACTGTGACCATGTCCCTCTGCATGGACGGTCCTTCCATTGTCATCTGGCAACCCGGAGGACCACCTCTGCAAAACATATGCTTCCATTTGAGGGAGGATTGAGGCTGCTGCTGTTCTCGACAGGTTGTGCAAAAACTCCAGGTGCATCTGAAGCAGGAGGAGCCCCTGGGTGATGTGTCATCCAGGATGTTAAACAAGAGACTTGGGTCATGTGTTCAGCAACTCTCCAGCAGTCTGTGATGATTCCAAGTTCAGGGATCTGATGAAAGACTGGACAGAGAAGATGATGGTTAATAACTGCTACATGCTAATGAAGAGTGGTAAAATCAACCTGAACATATTTACTTTCCCAGTGTGGAATGTCTGAGAAACTGTACAGCTCTCAGCAAATACACGTGAGCTATTTTACTTATTATCTTTGAAGACTAAAAATGTAAAAGAGTATGATGACACTCCACCCAATACAATTATATGTTGGTCTATGGGTGCTTTGAATGATTATTATTGTGGTGAAATCACAATTGCTAAAGTAGAATTTGTATGCAACCTGCCATCCCGAACCCTGTACACAGGAAGAACCTAAAATAATATGAACTCTACTCTAAACTAACTTCTGATGCGGAAACATAAAGAACCCATTTCACTACTAAACACGAGGCCTCTCACCTGATGTGTTGGTGCTGAGATGTTCCACGAGCTCCTCCAGTTACACCAGCTGCTCCTGCTCTGGTTCCTGTACCAGACCCTGTGAGGCCCGCATCATGAAAACTGATGTGGAAAAATAAAGAAATTCATTTCACTACAAAAACAAGAGGTCTCAATAATGTTTGACTGGCAAAGTCATAGGAGTTGTTCTGCTGGATAGCTATTAGGGCTGACAAATTTTGGAAAATAATCTAACAGCGATTATGTTTCTTCAATATTGCAATTACAATGAAATTCACGATTATTTTCTCAAGGGGCTTTTCTCATTGTTTTCAACTAACGGAAGCATAAAAAAATCTATGTAACTTGTACTGAGTATGAACAAGTTTATGTATCTACATATATCAACAAGTTTACTTGTCTACATAAATACAAACACTCGAAAGTAAAGACAAAAAGTTGTATTTGAAGGTGCGATGCCAGGAGCACATCCCTTGATGGAGCATATTAGCATCAACTGTGACAATAGATTTGCAGGACAGAAGTGTGTCCCGTTTATTGAAGCCTTTTGCGTTTAGAGTTTTTGACGTCTTGTCCATGCAGAGCTTCCGTAGATCAGTTACATCCATAACTGCTAGCCAATACTCAGTGGAGTTAGTCTCTTACGGTTTTCTGGCTTTACTAAAATATCTGTCTGTACTTATTTGATTGATGACAGTTTTTACCTTCTATTAGACTCCAAATGTAATCATTTGGCACGTTACTAATTCGTAATTTGTAAGAATGTAATCGGCAATATTAGCATTAGCATCCCTGCGGGTTTTTCCATGTTTATTAACATTGCGCTAACCACTCGCTGCCAGTCAAATTGCAGCCTTTGTGATTAGAAAATCTTTTTTTGTCACATTGCAATTTAATTGCATGTGTAATTAATCGTTCAGCCCTAATAGCTATTAGCAGTATTAGCTGGTTTTCACTGATACTAGCAGGCTACCATGTTATTTATTACTCTTGAAGCTGAAAATAATCCCTGAATAAACTTTAAAACACTTAGTTACCATTTTAGCAAGTTAAATAAAAGATTTATGTTAGACATTTATTTTCCTTATTTTTCCACTTACCGGTCATTCAGCCATATTGGCTGTGTCTCAATTCAGGGTCTGCATCCTACGTCGGCCGGATTCGTCGGCCGGTTACGTCACAGCGCCGCGACTCGGCCTGTCCCAATTCGAAGACTCCTTCAAATGCGGTCGACGAAAGCGGCCTTCTTTTCGCCTGAATGAAGGATGGGTCCGGTGTATCCTTCAACGGGTAGCATTTCCCAAGATGCCTTGCGGGCCGGCCGGCAGAAAAACTTAAAAACAATGGCGGACAGTGAAGCGGGAGCTGTCGGAGAGGATTGCGCATATAAATGTCAGTATAAACTTGAAAACTGTTAGGTTAAGGGCTTTTTGTGACACATGAACGTTATTTTAGTTAGAAATGTTACAGTAAAAGTGCTTGTATTGCGGTCTCGGCTCGTATGTTCGGCCGCTCGGTGTCGTACTTCTCCCGCTACGTTTCCCCCTGATTTTAATAGAAGTTTGTATTTTAGGACCAAAAGAGAAAACCAGGGAATTTATTAAGCTTAGGGCGGAGATGGACCACATGATCACCGGAGCAAAGTATTCGGCGGCTGTGGCATGGAGGTACAATAACATCTCATATTTTAAAAACTCGTTTGAGTTTATTTTTTTCTGCGAAAACATGAAAGGAATAACCCGTTGTCCTCTTTTCTCTTCCTGTTTCTTTTCTTACATGTTTGTTAAGACTATTCTGGAGAAAATGGGCGTCCAGGGGAAGGTGCCAGCGATGACCAGCTCCTGGAGCTGATCAGGGAGGACATGAGGCTGCAGAGGGAGGCAGAGCAGCAGAGAGCACAGGAGAGAAGAAAGAACGTTGACAGCTTTTTACTTTGCTAGAAAAAATGGTTAAGGAAGATTAAACATGTACATATAAAAGAAATATCTAAATAAAATCAGTTCTGCATTAAACTCTTGAATTTTATTTTGGTTTACAAATGAGAATTGTTTACTAGAGGGTATCCGCTGGGTCTGAAAAGTCTTAAAAGGTGATAAATCGGTTTTGGTCGAATGAAGACCCTTAGAAAGTATTAAAAACTATTATCACATCTTTGCTCAGGCTCAGCTTGTTGAAAGTATTTTCTCTGAATTAGCTCTCCAACAGTCAAGGAAATGATTAAAAAGCTAAATAAAACTTCGAGCTCCATCGTTTAAAGTTCCTTCTCCCGTCTGCTCAGCGGTTCCACGGTTGCTAGGCGACGGAACGTTCGCCGAGGGAGAGGCGGGAGTTCATGAAGGCTAGGCCTGTCCAAATTCACAGCCGCTAACATCCGGTCTACCCGGCCGACGGAGGACGCAGCCCACGTCGGCGGGGTGGGCTGGGTCCTTCGAAGGATGCAGACCCTGAATTGAGACACAGCCACTGATTCATGTAGACAGGTGTTCTGCTCTTTTCTGTTTACCGAAGCAGAGCAGTTCACATATCTGGAGGGGCGCGGCCTAGGGATTATACCTGATGGGAGGGGTGGGAGTTCGGGGACCGTGTGTGTGTGTGTGTGTGTGTGTGTAAGCTAGCTAGCTGGGCCTAACTTGTTTGGAGATTCGTTCCAGCACATTTAAAAGAATAGTGTGGTCCAGAGTATTAAAGGCAGCACTTAAATGCAGTAGAAACAACACTGTCACTATCCATTCACCATAAATTAATCTAAAACCAAGTAAAATCTTCAGAAGGGCCGTCTTCGTGATGTGGTTCACCCTAAAAACAGACTGAAATTCACTGTAACGAGGACGGAGAGCTGCTAGACGTGTGTTCCTACCTTCTGAGTTCCACTTGGGATGTGATACTGGATGACTATTGTTCCGTGTCTCTCACATCCTGGTAAAGGTGAAGAGCTTGTAAACACGGTCATGGTACCCCCCTCTGGCTGAGTCCCCCTCAAAACGCCGTATAACTGCCCACAGATGGGACAGATCGGCTTGTAGACAAAGGCTGTTTTCAAACAGTCTTTACAGAACGAATGTTTGCACCTAAGTGTCTGTTTGTCCTCATCTTTGATCGTCTCCATGCAGATTGGACATGACTCATCTTGGCTGGGTGAGGGTTTTGAGGCTGCACTGCCTGCTGGGACGCTGGTCTCTGGATGTTTACGGAAACTCTGAGACTTTGGTGACAGAAACCTCTTCAGCTGATTTAAATATGGAAAAGGACCAACTACTGTTGTGTCTTTGCTGGAAGTTGGTTTAAAAAGAAGACGTGGAAATTTTCTTTTTAGATCCTCGAGGTTGTGTGGACCCAATCTGAGAGATGTGACCTCCAAATCAGAGGCTGTTCTCTGGTAGAAGGTGAGGAACTGCTGTCTCACAAAGTCTAGACGTACGCACTGAGGACGGGACAATCCAGGCTGCGCTCTGAACATCACCAGAGCTGAACTCGTGTGTGTCGCGTCTGGATAAATTTCAATCTTAAGACTTATTCCTTGCAGTTTTTGAAGTTTTTCTTTCCATATCTGCTGGATGTAGTCCATCACCTGTGCAGACACCTTTACTGTATACTGCTGAGGGCTCTGTCCCTGAGTGGGTCGAGAGTCTGACAGAGCCTTCTCCAGCTCCTCCAGCTCCTCATAGGTGACACGCACTTTGTAGCAGGAGTGTTTTTCTTCAAAGTGGTATGGGATCAGACTTCTCCTCTTTGCTGGATGTTCTCTAAAAACACGTTTATCTACTGTGAGGATGATGTCTCTGAAGAACTGCAACAGAACATAAAGATTATTTAGCAAAGCAATTTGAATGTCTTAAAGGTACAAAGCTAACATACAGCATCAGTTTTGAATGAATATGCCTGTGAAAAGTTTCGAGCTGCAGAGGCCTGATCCATCCCAGGTAACTCAATGTGTCAGGTAACAGAAGACGATGGAGGAGAGAGGAAGAGGCAGGGGCGGAGAAAGCTAAACTCACTCGTGGTAACAGTGCGATCTGTAGATGGTTTGTATTTTTAATGGTCACCAACACAGTGGCCATTTATGACTGGCCCTTGTGAAACGGTTACAGTCTCCTTACAGGCTAGTTTGAAGTTAACGCATATATTTGTTTTATATTGGATGGATAGGGAAATATGAAGCATGCTTTTATTTTGTAAGCGTTTGCAACCCTTGGGCGTAGTGTCTTAGTGTGTTGTCCCATCAGGATTGTGTTCATGGCCGTATCTACCATTAAGGACACCGAGGGCTGGACCTCGATATTCTTTCTGCAGAATTTAAAAAGAAATCTCAAACTGCCTTCATGGTTTTAGTACACGTGGTCATGGTGGATGTGCTACAACAACTCTTGGCAGTCAAACTAAATGCAATGCTGGTCATAAAGAATCACGCAGCTCAGCTTGTTTACCACTGAACATGAGAAGAAGAAGCAGGAGGATGAGGAGGATCCAGAAAACTTAAAGGAAACCAGCTGGAAATCCTTAACTTAATTTCCGATCTTCTAAAAAACAGCTAAACGTATTTTCACCTTTCGGCTCACATTTGTTTCTGCTTCCTGATCACATACTTTGTTTTGTTTTCGCTGTTTAGCGATCTCTTATGGCAAGTGAGTGTAACATTTAATCACACTTTTTATTTTTTGGGGGGTTGTCACCAGCATTCAGACATCAACTCAGTTTAATCACACTTTATTAATATTTTTAAATATAGCAATGATGTATCCAAGTTGAAATTGTATTATTACTAGTCAGTGAAAATAAAACTAACTTGATACCAGTAGAAATGATATTTAAGTTTAAATAACAACGGCACTAGTTGGGATTTAATATTGACAAACCCATTTTATATATTTTAATAGTTTGAATGCTGTTAAGCATGTGCTTTTTTTGCTTCTTGGTGCTTTTTGCTTTCACATCTTTCACTACATTCAGCTCATTTGACAGTTTAGCTTAGTTTCAGCTAGGGCTGCAACAAACGATTATTTGGATAATCGATTAATCGGATGGGGTCTCGACACGATTAATCGATTAATCGGATTACATGGGGAAATTTTTAAAAACTGCTAGGGAAACGTTATTTCTCTCCTTCCTTCACTCTATTTAACACAACATTATTAGAAAACAGTTCAATAGCAGAAAAACAACATGCCATCACCTAAATTGTCTTATAAGGTGTATAGACAGAGACCCTAAGCTACACCTATCTGTGACCTAAAATGCTTGGTCCAAGTTAAACAGCTTAAGGGCAATTCTCATCTGTTTTGTTTGATCTCATCTGTTGACATTTATTTTAAATGTAATTAAACATAGGCTGTGAATTAATCAAAATTGATCACTATTTCCAAAAATGACTGAAAAAATACCAAATAAAACAAAAGTAAATGAATGCCATCCTCCTTGCGATGATGCCCTGGGCAACTGCCATAAAGTCACATCAAGAAATGCTGCTGATCATTCCAATGATCCCAAATAGACTCACATTAGGCCACATGAAAGCAACTGAACCCAAAAATATATTAACCAGTATATAACTGGTGTGCTCGTTGACAACGTGCGCACGCAGGTTTGTCACTTGTGCACATCCTTGTGCGCTCACAGACACAGTTTGCTCCCTCTCAGTGCACAAATGACCTCTCGCCATGTATATTTGCGCTCGCGAGTCCCGTTCACACGCGCGCTGTGGACCCAATGCGCGTGCACGGGTTGTGACACGCTTTAAACGCCATACGGGAACACGTTCTGGTGACTGGAACTATTTTGGAAGGGGAACCTTTAGCCGGGGTCACGCAGCTCAACACAACACCGGTGCGTGTTTGTGTGTCTGCTGGACCACCTCACTGTAGTTTCATCGAAAAAAAAATCCCGCGCGTGGAGATATTTAGCTTTTATGGCCGACTTACATAAAAACAAGTGACTGAATAAAGAAGGAAAGCTACGGCTTCAGGCTCATTTTTGACCGACACAGCTCGCGCCAACCAGTTTAAAAGTAAACATAAGTAACTCACCTCCATTATACCGGTAAATAAAGTTATTTCCAGCCGTTTCTCTTTATAAACAATAACTATACAATAAACAATGACTGTACACGACCTACTAACGAGGGCTTCTGATCTGACTGCAGCAGTCTACTTTCAGTTTCACATTGTTTGAAAGAAGGTGCTGCCCCCTGGTGGTGACATACCAGAATGCCCCAGCTTTTGATGAATAAATGGGTGTGAAAAAACAGCACAGCTGTAGAAAACACATGTTCTTTAAACATGACTATCAATTTTACAGACAGGAACACAGCTCACAAGAAGAAAAATAAAAGGCTTTGCAAATCACACAAATATAACTTAATCAGCTGTAGTGGTTGTCATGATGAATTATAACAAAGTCCAGCAGCAAAACCACTTCTCCACTAGAAACCCATCAGGGACAGACCGATGTTCTGCTGAAGGTTCAGGGACCGCACGGCTGAGTCCTGGGGGAAGTCATTTTGTCTGATGAATCTCTTTTTTTATTGTAGATATTCTGGAACAAGGATCAACTGGAGAACCTTGTGTCCTCCAGCAGTAAAACATCCTGAGACCATTCGTGTGTGTGCGTGTGTGTGTGTGTGTGTGTGTGCGTGTGTGTGTGTGCGTGTGTGTGTGTGTGTACTTCCCAGCCAAGGGGGTGGACTCACTCACAGTTTAGCCTTAGAACAGCTATGTGAACTAGAAAGGACTTCTTGCAGAGATTCTGTCTGAATGCTGACTACTGAGAGAGAAAGGAGGTGAAGTTAAAGTGAGAAACAGAAAATGATGTTCTACTCTGTTTTGAGGACAAGGACATTATGCATTTCATCCAGCTTCTTCTTCTCTTGGGAAAGTTTCATATTCATAAAGCAAGTTGGACAGACTCCATACCAAACATAAACCACTTGAACTAAAACTCTGAACAATATATGATAAGAGAACTTGATACTCAAAAAGTGTGTAAAACAAACTATATTTTCGACAAACTGAACCTGAATATATGATGTTGTATTTTTTGTTTCACTATTAAGTTTGTACTTGAATTTGCCCCTGTAATATGTTGCTGGTGTTTTTCTTTACCCCTGGTGTTCACTTATGTTCAATGTGTACTTAGCATAGTTTTTTTGTTTTGTTTTATTTGTTCTTGCGTGGAAAATTAATAAAAAATAAATAAAGCGGACATCATGTGTTTCTGTGTTAGCTTTGATGGAAGTCCTGGGGGTGGGGGGTACTGGGGGGATACCCCCTACCCCTGTCCTCCTTGCATAAAGTTGCCCCCAAACAAATGTAGTATATATTTAATAGTGATGTAGTATCGTCCAAGGGTGAATAGTGGTGCAGTGGTTAGCACTGTTGCCCTGCAGCAAGAAGGTCCCGGGTTCACATCCTAGCCTGGGGTCTTTCTGCAAGGAGATTGCATGTTCTCACTGAGCATGTGTGGGTTCTCCCGGGTATTCTGGCTTCATTCCACAGTCCAAAAACATGACTGTCAGGGTGATTGGTTTATCTAAATTGCCCTAAGGTGTGAGTGTGTGTGTGTGCGTGCTTGGTTGTTTGCCCTGCGATGGACTGGCAACCTGTCCAGGGTGTACCCCACTTGTTTGCCCAAAGTTTGCTGGAGATAGGCACCAGCCCCCTGTGACCCTGCGTGGATAAGCGGATACAGAAACTGGATGGATGGATAGTATTGTCCAATGAAAGCAGTACACAACTGATGAAAATTAAAACCGCTAAACAATTCAAAGATTTAGATCCCCCTCTCTTATTCTCCTCTGATTTGTACGGTCCACACAAGCTTTTTAATCGGCAGGGGCAGCCTACCGCTGCTTTGCTCCCGAAGCTGAGCGGCAGGAGGAGGGAATGATATGGAATTAGATTAGAGCTGAAACCATCAAGACAAACACTTTAAAGATCAAACAAAATTTAAAGGCCCCATGTGTGAAATCCATAGCCTGGCAAGCCAGACTAAATAAATGTATTATTTAGTCTGGCCACGCTCCACTGACGGCTCTCGGTTGTGGGGCGGGTTCTACCGTTGTCTTTCAAATGATCTCCGCATTCCACTGGACAATGAATGTGACATACTCTTGTTTCACTCTGTTGCATCATCCCACCCACCAGGCATATAGAGTGCCCTGATTGGCCCACAAAGCGGATAAAGCTCTGTGATTTGTTCACTAAGCAGATAGAGCACTATGATTGGCCCACCATTATGGACCAATTACAGCTCTTTATGTGTTTGAAACCCCTCTAGAGAGCTGTGATTGGCTAGCCAGAGTCCTGGTAGGAGCTGCGGAGGTTCCAGTGGAGCATGCCTAGACCAAACTTTGCAAAGCAAGAATTTGGTCTAGTTCACTAGGCTATGAAATCCATTAAAATCATGATAAAAAATGTGACTCTTTAGCGCCATGCAGTTCAGAGAAAGTATTGCAGCTACATTTGCTCACTCATGAACTTGATAGCCTAACCAATTTCCAACCTCTCTAGCCTAACCCACAAAAAGCAGATAACTACTTGAGCAATGGGCTCTTTGCACGTCCTCTTCCGCATTCTTGTGGGTGTGGCTTGGTCATTTCTGGTGAAACGGCAATACGTAAACATGAGACGTTTACAAGACCTGTCTAAACTGACGATTAATGACATTCACCGCCTTTGTAACTCGGTATCAAAAGCACTGACGAGTAAATTAGTGAAAGGCTTTAAGATGTATGCCTCATCTTACATCCACAGATACGAAGGTGAGTCTTGTTTTGGCTTATACTTTGTGGCTAACACGGGCTAACATTAGCCATAGCATTGCTAACAGCAGCGCCAGCCGACAGCATTATTCCTGATAAAAATATCAAAATGAATATGCTCATTAAATGTCTGAATATATTCAGCCATTCGGAGAATGTCCACCCAAATATTTTTAGTATGTGTTAAAGTGCACATGGATTTAATGGGTGTTGCTTGTATGGTTGTTCTGTCTTGTTTGGGAATGTATGACTGTGTTTAGAGCTACAGGCTCAGAAAAGCAGAAATCTGCCGTAACAGTTTTAAACGGAGTCATGTCCGACTGTCTTCATGTTTTCCTGGTTAATACAATGAAATTGGTTTAATGAGTGTTTGTTGTTGTTAGTGTCAAACAGAGACCAGTGTACAGAGACCAGTGTAGCGTGATGAATTGTCCATCTTTGACCTAAAGGCCCTGCTCTATTTGCTCTGCCCAAGCAAAACCACAAGTTTCTGACACACGCCTAATCTACAAGATATGGGCCAAGGCCACTCATGCTCTGTGCTCTTATCTAAACTGTTGCTTCCTCGGACAGCACAAGAAAGAAGAAAGAAGACCAAGAACTCTATTAAATAATAATTAAAGAGCAAGTCAACCCCTACCAGAGTCTAACTCCACTCCCACGTCATGTTTGAAAAATGCAACACATGCTGTTGCCTGGCAGACCGAGAGGGCGGAGCTGCTAACAAATACACACACACACACACACAGGCTCACGACAGCATTGTGACATCATAATGTACCAGTTTGCATCATAGCATACTTCTTAGCCAATGGCGGTGGCAGATTTAAATTGAAATACAGTGCAGAGTTTTTACCTGACGACGGCACAACACTGCCAGTTTTAGGCAGAATATTTAAATTTTAACTAAGATGCACTGAAGTGCCAAATTATTGACGACACGTGTCTGCAGCACGATTAGACACTCGTTTATTTAGTTTATCAGCAAAAAAAAAGTTTATTTGGGGGTGACTTGCTCTTTAAATAACGTCTGTTAGTCCAAGTAATCATGTGAAGCCTAATGTCAATCAATCTGTGAAATAAGAATATTAATTACTTGATATTATTATCCTATGATAGTCATAATAAGTAATATAACTTTAAATATTTACACTAGACTGATCACACGTAATGCTAAATTCACATGACACATTTCCTTTTTCTGATCCAATCAGAACCTTCCAGATCTGACGCGAGGCGTGGTTTTGTTGGTGTTTATTTTGTTGTCAAATCCTGATTCGACCATAAATCAAAACATCCAAATTATAAAACTGTGCCCCACGTCATCTTAACTTGAGTTCTAGAGAAGTTATCGGAGTGGCCAGTCCGTAAATTGTCTCTTAAAGCTGAAAGAACCAACGACAAGCTGGATAAAATCTGTTGCATATTCCACCTGCTGCAACGGCTCCTTCAGAATAAAAGCTGAATCATCACAACCCCTTCAGGGTCTCGCTGATGCCAATAAAACTGTCGTGACCTGGGAGTATCTCAAGACGGGACTGGTCAACAACTGCCGCTTTGCTACAGGCTCCGGTTCCAGACAAGGTCATAGGAACATGTTTCACACACACACCATCCTCAGTCTCACTCCAACTTAGGTACATCATACACATAGTGTTTAAAGGTAGTCTTGCTTAAATAGTTCAGAAATAAACCTTCTTACCCTTTAAAACTTGTCTCTCTCCCTCTCTTGTCTCTGGGTTAATACGAAGTGTTCTCTAATCCCTGCAGTAAAAAGTTCCGATCTTCTGCTTAAAGTAATATTCAAAGATCCATCAAATTGATTTCATATTTCCTGTGTAATCTCACATTTTATGGGTCATCACTTAAGGTGTAACCAACGAGTCGTTACACCAGGTACACCAGGGAGAGGTTGCTGTTCGGAGTTCTTGATCCAGGAAGAAGCACGAAACACCTCATAGTGTTAATTAAAGTAGGGCACCGCGGGTTACTTGTCAGTGAATTCTACTGACTGTTCAGGTTCAACTTTTCTTTTTTATTTACTGCATGTCCCAAAACGTTAGGCGATGTTCCTTGCGGTCTCTGATGTTTTATTACTTTTGCATGTTTCCTTATGTTCAAGAGGGTTCGTGTTTCTGCGCTCGTGTTTTTTAAAAGCATTCAAACAAGACGAGCTCCAGATGTGTTGTTTGAATGCTGATTGAAGTACCCCCTCATTTGTATGTCTTTAAATGTACAGTCATATTCTACTAATTTTATTATTACAATGTCATTTATGTGACAAACAAAACTATTAAAACATTCTTCCACACACAGTTTTGCCTACATTTTCCATATATGAGGATTTTCTGCTCGCATGTATTGAAAGCAAAGCTACATCAGATAGATCTGATATGG